ATGATACCAACTCAAACCTTAAAAACAAATATACCCAATATGATACCCATTGTAATACACAATGTGATACTTATTGTGATATACTGTGATACCGATTTCACCGGAGGCCGGAGATTGGAGGTCGGAGAGATGAAAGAGGAGATAGGAGTTTTTAAAAAAAATACCTAATATACCATCTAATTATAATTTTAACGCAAACTACCATAATTATTAATTTCCTAATTTATCCATTGATTTGTGTTTGAGATTGGACCTCACAGTTACATATCATTTATGTTATCTTTCATACTCTTAGTGAGTGCAAACCCAATCATTTTGCCTATATCAAAGGTTCAGTATCTTTTTGTCCAAATTCCATCGTTTCGAGCGGGTTTTTTTTAAATTGTTGGGTTTGAGAAAACATTTCCGGTTTCTTGATTGATTTGGAGGAAAATTTTCGAATTTTTGGTTAATGTTAATTGTATTTTTTAATATATCGAAAGCACACTTCAAAGTTTAACATGCATACCTTTCATATAAAGAGAAAATTCTAATTACAAAAATCATTTGAGTGGATACATTGTACTGCACTAAGGGGCGTTTACTAAACGCTTATCCGGTAAGTACTTACTGGACAATTTTCCTTACCGGATGAACATGACAAGGGGAAATAATCTTACCCGGTAAGAGCGATGATAAGAATAGAGAGTCTTACCCGGTAAGTGAGGGTGACGACTTTTACCCGGGTAAGCACTTACCAGGTAAATTGTTGCATAAGATATGTTTTGATGTACTACAATCTTACCCGATAAAATTATAATGTTGACTCTTAAGGGGAAGCGCTTACCGGGTAAGCATTTACGTAAATGACCCTTTATCTTAGACCTTTATAGATCGGCTCCTTTCCTCTCCCTCTCATATATATAATATAGACTTAGGATCATATGAGACCAAGAGTTTTTCGTGAGACCTGTAAGATCAATTCTCAACACTTGATTATATCTATCTGAACATTCATAATCACAAAATTGTCATGAGACTTCTCAATAATCATAAAATTGTCATCGTGCAACTTTAGACAATTAGATCATTAGCTTATAAAGTTGATCAATGAACATAAATTAGTCTTACGGGTCTCACGAAAAACCATTGATCTCATGTGAACCCAACTATATATATATATATATATACACACACACACAGAGAATGTAAACCTACCGGCTTCTTGTAATATTAGCCTTGTTTTGTTTTTGTTTCAATTATTGGTCTACGATTTTTTTTTAATAAAAGACAACAACTTTAGTACGAAACATTTATCTACTATAATTTAAACCTTATTAAAAGTGACATTTCATAACATGTTACGTACTAGAGAAATTAAAATCAATTTATTGGGTTTTCTAGTGGCCAAATGTAAATTGCAAATTACAACCACAAGGGTGGTGTCTGATTGGTTTAAGCTTTAAAAGTCAAAAGTGTATAGAGGTCCCAGATTCGAATTCAAGAAGAAATTAAAAAAAATCATCTCGTAACCATGGAGGTTCAAATACGGTGACTCCGGACTACGTCGTCCTGAAATTAATCGACTCGCATAACCGATTGAATATCCAGGTTAATAAAAAAATAATACAAATTACTCCATTCGTTGTATTTCTTTAGGGTTGTTTATTGAAAATCGTCATATTATTAACAACATATAATTTATGTGTACACATAAAATAACAAGATTTTATTAAATTTTATTCTTTTAGTTGTCAAATTTTTTGAAATATGTATTATTGGGTAAAACATATTGACAATATAGTATCTTATAAGACTAATTGGTCGTTTACCAAACGTTTATCTGGTAACTGTTTACCAATAAAAATAAATTACCTTTACTTACTTTATAATGTAACATTATCGGTCCTCAAAATGAATTGTTGGTAAACATCTTAAACCCGATAATAAATTATCGGTTTAGAGTCTTTTCCCTCATTTATTGAGTAAGATGCGTGATTCCGGTCATACCTCTTACCAGATAATTTTTTGACCCATATCATGCTCAATCGATAAGGTAAATGTTATCGTTCAACACTTGGTCAGAATTTTGTAACCTTAAGGTTTTAAAATTGTTAGAATAATTGTATATAATCTTTCAATTTATTTTATTTTTTATGGACGAATAAGTTTTAAATTTTAGCGGTTTTTAACCAAGGGTTGAGTTCATTTGAGACCAGTCTGTTTTCGTAAAATCATTTTTTTACACTTCAAACTTCATAGCAAGATGTTGTAAAGATAAAAAAAGTCGAACCTTCACAGCAAAAAAAAAAAATGTTGTTTTTCACTTTCTTTTAATTATAAAATGTTAGTTTGATCTAATATTTGTATATAAAGTCAAAGTCAAAATTAAAATAATAATTTATAAATTAAAATAATAATTCCCACCGATAAATAAATCATTGGGCTTTTAAAATAAACTTATAAGGCTTTAAAAGAGCTTTAGAAACCTGAAAGCCCAAGTCCAAATTAAATAAGCCCAATAAGATCCTAGGGTTCGTATCGTCTTTTAACCAATTTGCATAGATATTAATGATATGACAACGAGATCAGATGCTTAGAATTACGTCGTGTTTCTATATGCGTTTTTAAAATAATTTTAAATTTTAAATTGCTATAATTTATTATTTTATCTAATTACAATAATCAGTTTTTTTTTAATAACTTTATACATCATATCCAAATTTAATTATTTAATAATAAATGATTTAAAATTTCAAATAACATAATCTATATTATATTATAAATTATTTGATAAAAACTCTTAAAACTCATATTTTATACATAAAGTATTGCTTATTGATTTATATTACTTCAAAATTCAAAATTATAAATAAATTGTGTCTAAATACAACTTATTAAATTTCATATTTGATTTCATATAAGTAACTGTAAATGAATATAACTAAATACATGAAAAATTTCTCATTATAATTATAAAATATAAGATATAATTAAAATAATTATTGAGTTTTAAAAGAATACTTAATTATTATACTTATAAAAATTATATTATTAAATTAAAAACAAATTACTTAATTATTAAATTTAAATCAAATTATAATAACATTTTGAATTAAAGTAATTACGTAAAAAAATAAGAATTTTTTTTAATTTTATAATATATTCAATTTTATATTTTATTACAAAAATATTATTATTTATTTAATTACATAAATTTATTTATTATATTATAACATCGATAGAGGTCAAAAAATTAAAAATCAATATATATTTTATTATATTATACGGTTTTTTATTTTAAAATCAACTATTTAAGTTCGAATTATGTATAGTCGGTTTAAACACAAATTTAAACGTGTCCACCAGTTATATTATTAAGGGTAAATCAAAGTTTAGGTACCTATGGTTTACACAGATATACAAAAATAGTCCCTATGCTTTAATAGGTATACAAATAATCATTACATTCTATGTTTTGCTTGAAAGATGGCCCATTGCATTAACTCTGTTAAAAAAAAGGAACATCACCAAAATGATCAAAATATACCTGATATATTAACCAAATAACCATTTTTTTACGAAATTGCCAAAACGACCACATGGATCTCTCTCGGGGGGCGATCCATAACAATGGTAAAAAAGAAGGGGATCGCCCCCATGGTCATGGATCGCCCCCGGGGGAGATTCATGTGGTCGTTTTGGCAATTTCGTGAAAAAATAGTTATTTCGTTAATATATCAGGTATATTTTTATTATTTTGGTGATTTTCCCTTAAAAAACCCACCATGTAAGGGACATTATGGTCTTTTCATCCCCTCTTCTAATCTTTTCTTTGATTTTTTCTATCAAGTAAATTTCACTGTACTTAAATAACGTGTACAACCCATCAATGCACCACACACCCACCTTACAAGTCACACCCCACCTACCCCTCCTCTCATTTCCACCTTCGGTAATCCTTTTATGGGATGTGACCCCTTCTAGTCTCCTTCTCCCACCCAAATAACTGTTCCGAATTCTAAAAAAACACGACGAACATTAATTCCATAACAAATCTCAACAAAGTCCACCTAGAAAGACGACAAAACCCCACCCAATAAGAGGAGAAGACCCTTTGACAACTCCATGTTTATCCAAGACTGGATCCTTTTTGGTGCTTCATGAGTGAGACCATGGATCCAGGTTTTCTTCTTTCTTTTTCAATCATGTGAATAAACATAATTGTACAATAGATATAGATAACGAGTTATAGTTGCTGGAAAAGAAGAAAAAGAAAGGGTATCGACTGGAGATTAACAACGAGCTGATTTTTGTTCAGATAAAAAAAAACCCATTCACATAATAATAAGGTAACAACAAGAGGGGGGGGGGGGTTGGTTTTGTTGATGGAAGAAGACTACAACATGAAATGCAAGGGCATCGATAGAGTTAACTGTCGATACCAAAAATGAGGCTATGATCTCCACGACTCGAGGGTAGAAAGAGAGCAACAAAGGTGGAAGAAGGGGACACAAATGATCCGATGGCAAAACGTTGTCTTTGTTGATGTTTTTCGTTCTTTTTTCAACCGTGGCGAACATGGGAAAAAAGGGTCAGGCGTGAGTTCATCTATAAGCATCATCGTAGGTTCGTGAGAAAAAAAAACAAAACCTAACACCCCCCTAAAGTAACGACACATTGACTAACTGAGTTACTACAAGGGACCACTTTCAAAAATAAATGAAAACCATAGGGACCATTTATGTACTTGTATAAATATAAGGACAATTTTCATAGTTTAGTATAAACCACAAGGACTAAAATTATAATTTACTCTTATATTAAAGATGGATACAATTATTACAGAGAGAGAAAAAAAAGGAAAGTCTAAATAAAAAAAGGAGAGATCCGCTACACCTACCCCCACGGTAAAATTAAACATCGATCATCATTCGCCGTTGATCAATGATCCAACGGTCAGTATTCATTAGAGCTTATCCCAGAGCTATATAAATGGCAGAAAAACAAAGGTAGAAGATGAACACCACCATTTTTTCTTCAGAAATCAAAGGAGACTCTCTCTTTATCTGTAGACGATTCTCTTTGAAAGCATAGTTTAAACCTAAAATTCATCATACACTGTGTTTACAGAAGAACTGATTGCTGTTTTGAGCTTCATAATCGATTCTGTAAGTTCATCTTCTTTGTTATCATCGCAATCAGATCTGAATCTCTTCTTCTTGTTCTTTAATTCTGTGTGTTTTGTCTAATTTCTCTTTCGATTTTGCAGGTTTATGTTAACGACTCCAGATTCTCCAGATTCCTCGACATTTTGAGAAAAAACCTAACAGATTTATGTTGTTCGTTGATGAATTTGTTAAATCGAGTTCATGTTTGTGAGAATTTAAGGATTTTTGTAATCGTTGATCCAAAAATTTTGTCGGAGATTGATGGATAAAATAGAGAAGAGAGGAGTAGTAGGAGTAGGAGTAGGAGGAGGGTGTAAACAACCAGAGACCACAACAGATTTGTTTCTGAAATGGGGAAATAAAAAGAGACTCAGATGTGTGAGGATGAGAGACTCAGATGATGCTGCCGACGACCCATCCTACGCCGTTTCCGGCCGCCGTAGGATTCGCCGGAGAATCAACTCTCGCTTTGTTTCCTTTCCATCCGATAATAATAACAATAATAATAAAGCACCTTCTCATCCACCACCATGTACCCGTCTCACAAGGTATATATAACTAATTCCCGATGAACTCTACGATTAATCCAGAAAACCGAACGATTTAACTTGGAATTTTGATTTGGGTCTGTTCTTAAATTACATCGTAACAAAAAAGTTCTCTGAAACCCCTCAAATTTGATTGGGTTTTATGTTTGTTTAACGTATAATTCATTTTTTCCGAACAATTCTGGAGATCAGATGCAGATGTAATCACGGTTGAAACAAAGTTTTCCTCCAAATTATCGAAACTTTGGGATTTTCTGGAATTTAGGACAACAAATTCTCCAAGTTTTCTGAAAATCTGGTGATGATTTGATGTCAATCTACAGTATAAACAAGAATTTTCTCCAAATTTGTTGCAAATCTGATAAGGATTTGTTTTGGTTTACAGGAATTCTGAGACTGGAGTTCATCTAAGGTCGGACAACAACCGGAAATCGTCGCCGGAGAAGGAGGTGTATACGACACGAGGAGCTTCAGCGGCAGTGAGTATGGCGGAGAAACCATCGGTATCGCCGGTAGACGGCGGCGGCGGTGGTGGTGGAGGAGATCAAAAGGTCAAACATGTGTGGCCAAAACTGTTCATAACATTATCAAATAAAGAGAAAGAAGAAGATTTCATGGCAATGAAAGGTTGTAAACCTCCCCATAGACCTAAGAAAAGACCCAAAATCATTCAAAGAAGTTTGCTTGTAAGTCACCATCTCCATTTTTCCTCCATTTTTCCACACACAAAAGCACTTTCACTGTGTGTTTTTTTTTCTACAAGATCAGATACTGAAATCCTCCATAAATCTCCTCCATCTGTGTTTTTCTTCTTGGAGCAGTTGGTGAGTCCAGGTGGATGGTTGACCGATGTGTGTCAAGAGAGATATGAAGTCATAGAAAAGAAGAGTACAAAGAAGGTATGTTAATGGCGGATTTTGGGGTTTAAATTGTTACGAAACCATGTTTTCCATGACCATTTTCAAGAAAATGTTTTCCCCTAATTTTGGGCCTCTGTTTTCTTATTTCTTTCGAGATAAATGGGTCTGATTTCTAATCTGTGCTTTAATAGTTGTACCTTTGGCCATAATGTCAATGGATCATGCTGTAACGACTTGTAACTTGTGCTTTAAAAGTTTCATTGGATTAGACCCGTTTCAAGAAAATGTTCTTCTCTACGCTTGGATCTCTCTTCTTTTTTATTGGAATCACATGTAACTTGTGCTCTAGAAGTTGTACATTTGGAAAATCATTTCAAGAAAATGTTTTTTGCTTAAATATGAGTTATAAATGTGCCTGATATTTAATGGTAGAACTTTCTTGAAAATTTAACATACTTTATTTTGATTTTTATTTTAGATAACATATTTTCAAAAAATTTATTTGGTGTCTATGACGTAAAGTTTTAAACATTTAAGTATTTGGGCATCCGATTGAAGCATTAACCGAAATACCATGTTGATGTGACGATTGGTGAGATGAATACCGAGTTGAATAGCAAATAATACTGAGTTGGATACCACATCAGCATGGTAATCGGTTAATGCTTCAAACTAATTACTCGGATACTTAAATATTTAAAACTTTACATCTTATGTATCAAAATGAATCAAGTTGATGTAGTTTGTCCACACATAAATATTTGTAAATATTCTAATATCATTCATTGTGAATAGCTTCATTAACCTCTTTTAAAAATTAATTTAGGGTTTTCTAATGAATTTGTTGTAATTGTTATAAAAGCATGCATCAAAATCATGTAATTTGTGCATTAAGTGTTGTACATAATGAATGAATGGGATTTTGTTTTGACGTGTAGAGGCCAACAGGGTTGAAGTACATGGGAAGTAGCATGGATAGTGATTCAGAATGACGAATCCTCTTTTCTTGTGGACTTGTTTTGTAAATTCTTTTTTTTTTTAAATTTCATTTATCAACTTTAATGAAAATGGAAATTTCTTTTTATTTATTTTATATATTGGTCTCAAACGTCCAAAATTTATACAGGCTCACACCCAAAGTTGATTATATTTAACCTAATCTTTAATTAAATAATGTTGGGTACTTTTTGAGTAAATTACGTTTTGGTCCCTGTGGTTTATTGAAAATTGTGATTTTCGTCCCCATGGTTTAGAAATTGATGTTGTCATCATTACGGTTTGTAATTCATTACTATTTTTGTCTTTATGATTTACAATTTATTATTGTTTTGGACTCTATTTTATAATTTATTATTGTTTTGGTCCCTACTATTTTAAAGATAGAAATTAGTTCCAAGAAAATAACAACAAACTAAAAGACACAATGATGAAAGTCGTAATGTACTCTATTTTTTTATATGTTTAATGATTTTTATTAATTAAATTAAAAAATAATATAATTAACTACTTAAAAAACATCAATTTGTGAGAGTATAAGATTAAAGGATATAATATGATTGGTATGAATACGAACATTTAGGAATTGTAATGAAGTTTTAGGGGTTGTTTATCAAACATCTACCCAATAAGTGTTTACTGTAAAATTAACACTATTATTTACTTACCGGGTAAGATTTTAGTCTATCAAAACGACATTATATGCAACAATTTATTCGGTAAGCGCTTACCGTGGTAAGAGTCGTCATCCTCACTTATCGAGTAAGACTCATGGTCCTTGTCTTGCTCTTACCGGGTAAGATTCTTGGTCCTTACCATATTCATCCGGTGAGGTAACATGACTTGGTAAGTGCTTACCCGGATAAATGTTTGGTAAATGACCCCTTAGTTTAATATTTTGTATTTTAGTTTTTATTCCAACGGTATGACGTTTTTTTGTCCTTTACGATTTATCTTTATAAACTTGTTGCGATTAATTTTGTTATAAATCGGTCATTATCACTAATGTCACTTTTTAAAGCATATATAAAACGTGACTACAATTGGTAATTATGTGATTTTTCACTATTACACCGCTGACCACCACCACCACCCTCATTTCGACTATTGACCATTACCAACCACCATCACCCCTTACAACGGATCCAAACAACAAAGGCATATATAACGAATTCGTGCGAATGTATTTGAAAATTTTAAAAATACAACACTTACATTCTAAGATCAAAAATCAACAATCGATCATTCTTGCAAAAACCGTAGCTTGTTTAATCTAGGACCAAGCTTTCTGACAAATTGTCGAGACTTTTGTATTAATATATTATACTATTAAATATTTATTTTAATTATATTGTAAAATATTGTAGTTGACTAATTTTACAAGATGTACTTTTTAGTAATTTTATATACTTATCAGCTAGTTTTTATCAGACATATTTTATTAATCAGCTAGCTTATTCGCTACCAACTATTATTAGTTACCAACTAAATTATTAATTAATTTGTCAAATGTAACCTAAATATTTGTTTTAAGATAATATGTGTAAAATTAAATAATGAAATAAAGAACACCTCTTGTTTCCAAATATTAACTTTCAACCCCAATCCTTAATATAACTCGAGTAAACTACAAATTTGGTCCGGTTGATCAAAAGTCATATTTTTCGTCCTTACAGTTTTAAAATTAAAAGATGGCTATCGTGTTTACAAGAACGTCCTTAATCCTTTCTTGTAACTGTCATTAAAAAATTCCAGTATCATTTTCGTTTTTTATTTATTTTTTTGTCTTTTATTCATTCAAAAATCACAATGGCCAGAATCATATTTTTTTTTATTTTAATTCAATAAAAGACAAAAAAATCAATAAAAAGACGAAAATGCTTCTCATTTAACAAAAGTTTCAATGGCCATCACAGAGAGGGACCAAATCTGATTTTTTTTTACAAATCACGATGGTAATTTTATAATTTCAAAACTACAAATACACAATGTGCTATTTTCGACCAACAATGGGGACCAAATTTATAATTTACTCATATAACTTATAGTATTTTGTTTTAATATCCACAAACCTTTAACGTTACTAAAATAATTATTTTAAAAAAATATATATTTTTGTTAAGTAATTAAAATATTAACTAGATTTTCATGAATTCCATTTATTTTAAATTTAAATATTTATATTCATTTTGAGCCACACAAATACGTTTATTGTAGCGTGTAGCCATTATTCATGAAATGGCCAATTAGACAACATTTTTGGACTATGGAGTGTGACACTCTAGAAAACGAAATTAACGCTCCCTTTTTATAAGTATGTTGGGATAACAAATCAAAAACAACCTGTAAATCCTGAATGACTTCGGATTTGAAAACGTTAAAACTAGAGATACTGTTTTTTATGAAGCACCGGTTTATACAACGTTACCTAAAGTGAAAGGTAGTTGATGCTTTCCATGATCCTGCAACATCATCAAACAAGCACTATTAATCATACCACAAGGTTATTCGAGAACAGTACCCAAGTTACTGATAGACTTCAACCTTCTATGAAGTAAGGGGTTCAAATCTCCAAAAAATGAGGAGAGTGTTTGAGTATTTGCCGTATACAAATATTATAAAGGAAAAATAAAATCATTTATCAATCATTTCTTCATGTTAATACATAAACATCGACCAATCATATCCTGAGGCAAACCACAACGGTTCAGAATGAGGATTTATTAACTTCAATAAATGAAAATGGGAATGACTAGAAATGGAAATAAGAACAAGTTTCATTCTCTACGGTATTGTTGAGGAATGTTTCATTACCCAAGATGTGACAACGACCCGTTATTCTATTGCACCAAATCATATATCATTTATAAATTTTTGAGTAAATTACAAACTTGGTCCCCATGTTTTTGTCAAAAATAACCCTTTTCGTCCCCATAATTTCAAATTATAAGATGACCATCATAGTTTGCAAGAATGTCCGGATTTGGTCTCTCCCTTTAATGACCATTACATAATTACATTAAATGAGAGGCATTTTCGTTCTTTTATCATTTTTTTTGTTTTTTTCTCAATCAAAATCCATAGGAACCAAACCAACAATGATAAAAATCCATTTTGATCGAGTAAAAGACAAAAAAAAGTCGATAAAATGCCCAAAATTTGACAGAATATTTTCAATAGTCGTTAGGAGGGACCAAATCTGGATGTTTTTGCAAACGACAAGGGTTATCTTGTAATTTCAAAACTCTAAAGACAACAAGTGTTATTTTTGACAAACCATATGGACCAAATTTGTAGTACTCTAATTTTTATCCAATCCTTGTTACCCCCAACCAAGCCCCCCTTTAATATGAAGTCTATTTCAGATTATAAACCGGTTGGAAAACTTGTAATAAATGATATTTAACCATTTTCTGTCTGAATTTCACTTCTAAATGGTGAAAGCTTTCATCTTTGTAATATATCGCACAAAGAGAAAAGTTCAGTTGCAAACCTGATTTCTGTTGTGAACTGGAGGACAAACGAGAACACGACATGTGTGTCCATTTGTCTCTATTCATCATGAATAATGGACGTGATTTTTTACAACATTCATGATGAATATCCAGGACACGTGGCACATTCTGGTTTACTCCTGGTTCACATCGAAAGTTAGGTTTGCAACTGAACCTGCTCCTATCACACAATTCCCATGTGATAAAATCCAAGATATGCCCATAAAACATTGGCAAATTATGAATCATATAATCATGGACATATCTATTGTGTTCTTCTAGTATAGAAATACGAAAAATAGAATAACTGTTATGATAGTGCATACTCGGATCGAAAATCCACCACCGAACACCATTGTCACTATTCTTATAGATCCTAATAGTTCATATAAGAGGATGAAGATGGTACTCACAATGTTAGTTTGCAGGATCAATCGACTCGAGACTTGGCAGCTTGAAGCATTACGATTATGAGCGTTTTCACATCCCTACAGAAGTCGAGAAACAAACATAAAAGACAACAAAACTAACCCAAATCAACATGTTGAATACATTCCGATTTTTGTATCTCATGTGACTCGCGTTATCTTTATATCATTAATTCAGGTTCCAGAAAATGAGAACTTTAAATGGCATGAGAAAAATTAAGACCGTTTTGATGACTCACTTTCTTTCTTCTGCGGGTCTAGGGAATGGAATCCGAAGCTTAAATTTGCTATCTTTATAACCAGCCTACCACGAAAATGGAAAAAAAATGTTGCATTACGAAACCAAAGAAGAACATGAGGGCTGCAACCCGAAGAAGAACTTGGTATAAAAACGGCAGAGAATAAAGAGAATAGAAATTGGCATCACCTTTACATTGAAGCCAAGGCTATCAACATCCAGCATGTATGCAAAGTCCACCTATAAATTTAGTAAAATTCACAAATCTAGCACAATTAATAACGTAGTTTCTTGACCAACCCCACTTAGGGGTCGTTTACTAAATGCTTATCGATGTCAGTTATCTTACCGATTGAGCATGACAAGGACCTAGAATCTCACCCGGTAAGAGGAATAGCAAGGACCGAGAGTCTTGCTCAGTAAGAGAAAAGACTCTTTCCCGGTAAGTACTTACCAGGTTTAAGTTTTTAACGTTTAGCAAACAATCCATTTTGAAGACCGAGAATGTTACAAGATAAGCCAAGTGCAGGTGATGTTTCTTGTCGGTAAGCGCTTACCCTGCCCCTTATTTACTTATATTCCATCATCTTTTATGACTTTGTGCAAAATGGTTTATAACCGCAGACCCTGAGTAGGCCCACACTGTCCCACTCGAATTGCATTATGTGAGAGGAAAATCAAGTAGACAGTGGCCTACCAGGTGGATGGCTTTTAAGTGCAGTGCCCACAAGGAGCCTAATCACCAAAGAAATTGCAACTCCCACACTGTGGCTGCCAAATTCAAACTCTCGTATGGGCTTGCTTAAATGGACTTAGCACTTTGTTAGCAGCTTAATGAGTCTAATGGTCAGCTATACATGACTGTTTGGTAGTGGCTTAATGATATAGAAATTGGCTTATTCAGTAAGCTTCTAAGGGGAGCTTTATGCAGAAAGCCAAGTTGTTTTCAAACCTGCCCCTCTCAATTAAAAAACACACTCCTTCCATCTATGAAAAACCCTCCCAAACAAAAACCTTCCTAGTCTATACAAACATATAATCCACAAAGACAGTTATATCCATACAGGACTTAATGTAAAACCAATCAAACAACCCCTTACTCCGGTAAACCTAGAGTTGCTAAGTTCGAGTTTGAGTTTGAGTTCGATACTTGTGAAGACAACAAAAATTTCACGCAACATTGAGATTAAGAAAACATGTAGAACAAAAGTAACTCAAGATTAGGGATTACCGGAACTGATGTTGAATGCTGAACTATGAGTTTTGTATCGTTTGAATGGTCTTTATTCATGTGAGACTGCAGTGATACATAACAAGTTTGATTGATGAGAACAAATAGAGAGAAGAAAAAAAAAAGGAGAAACCCTTGCAAGGGGGGAAAATATAACAAAATGTAGACGGTAAAATGGATCAAAATGTAACAAAGTTTCAGAATTTAACTTTTTTTACCCATTTTGACCGGTATCCTAACGATCTTGATACATTTGATGACGAGATACATGTTTAAGAAAGGTTTTAAGACAAAGAGAATAACAGATTTGACATCAAGGTCATCAAATGTTACAAGATCATGGTAAAAAATAGGAAATAATTGAACTTTGTTACATCAACTAGAAAATTTTGTTCTTTGTTACTCTAAATAGGAACTAGGGCAAACTACGTTACATTTTGATTCATTTTGCCCAAATGTAGGAATTACGTTAAGACATTAACAGCGAGGTCATACCGATATAGGCTTAGAAAACTGATAGATTTGATCAACTTTTGCTTCTCTGAACTCCTCGTTGGTGAACTCTGTAGAAACCGGAAAGGAAATATGATAAAACAACATTTAACATGATTCATATTCGTGATTGGTTTAGGACTACAAATTCTAAATAGACAGACCTCCTGATCGCAACAAAGCTGTAGCAACACCAGAAACAAAGCGTACAGCTTTCGGTTGAATGCGCAGAAACCGGAAGTCATCAAAGTCAACCTTCATCATATACCCAAGTTGTTGAATCAATTAAAAAGTCAAAGAAAAGTGTAAAAAGACTAATAAATGGTGAATCATCAGTCAAAAGCAAACTTTACCCAGGATGCATCAGGATGTCTTGCCAAATATGCTTTACGAATAGCATCCCTATCCGTTTCAGAAACCTAAGAACCGATAAAAAAATATGAATGTGGCAATGATCAGTTAAAGAAAATTCATCAGCCATACCAAACCAAAAGAAACATGACTTGTTGGTACCAAGTAAGGCCATGTTTAGCAACCATACTCTACCTTATTTTTTGGGCTTATTCAAAAATCCCTTTTTGGTTAGCCATAAACTAGCTTATAAGCTACTTCAAGTGGCATTTCAATAAGCTCCATGGTTTTTTTTTCCACTTCTTTTTTCCAATTATGCCCCTTAGATTTTCCAGTTATTTTTGCAACATGTCCTTTTAGGTCATTTTACATTGTCGTGTTGCTCATCAGCCAGGTTATCAACTAGTTTGCCTACAATAAGCATAAGAAAGTTTCAAGAATTGGAAAAGGGGACAGGCTTACAGAAACAGCATCACCAAGTAGAGTTATAATCAAGTCTGTTCTATCCTCCGGATCTTTAGCTACAAGCAACGAGCATTTAGGATTAGCCAGAAGATCCTGCAAAAAATAGCAAATTTTCTATGATCATGCTGCTTCCTAAATAAACACGAAAACAAACCATGAAGACAGTTGGTAGTAACAAACATAATGGCTCTAAAATTCACATGTGTTTACAAACCTTCGTATGAACAGCCAAGTTACTGACTGCTAGTATTGGAGATCCATAGGCATCACATGCAAAATCAACCATTGATCCGGATGGATAACCCTCGTGCTTCTGCACAGTACACGAAGTTGCAACAATAACTTGATAATTAAGATGAACAATAAGCAATGAGCCAAACTAATCTTAATTTAAACATACTTTGTTAAATCATTCTTTGGCAGTAATAACATATCATCTACATATCAAAGTAAGGGGCTGTTAGTTGGTTTTATATTAAATTTTGTATGGATAAAGTTGTGTGTATGGTTAATCTGTCTGTATTAGATTGGGAAGGTTTTATCATAGATGGAAGGAACGTGTTTTTTAATCGGGAGGGCGGGTTTGGAAAAAACTTGGCTTTCTGCATAAAGCTCCCCTAGAAGCTTACTAAATAAGCCACTACCATACAGTCACGTATAGCTGACCGAATAAGCTGTGAATCCCATTAATCCCATTAATCTCATTAAGCTAGTGAGCTCATTAAGCTGCCAACGAACAGGCACTAATCACTATGTATGAAAAGCATCATGAAACATATGCTCTACTCTTTCAGTAGAGGTTAGGTATGCTACATCCCCCCCACCCAACAGACCCCACCTCCAAATGGGATAGACGGGCCTCGTTTCGTTTGGTTTATGCTCCAAAAATAAACCTAAATTTTGACTTTTACAGCCAAGTAGGTGATTTTTCGAATCCAAAGTTGCACCAAGTTCTTATCATGAAGATCAATAACTTTTCTTGTCAACAAATTCCATTTCAAGTTTTGATCCTATAACATTCAACAACAGGTGAAATCTGTTTCAAGCAAACCGAACAGCATATCCCACGCATGTTATGCATCAGCAAATGAAGATCATGAGTGATTTGCAAATAAGAAACTCCGTTCTATGAATGATCTAATCCAAACATTCTATTAGGAAATAGAAAACGAAAAGAACCTGAGAGATCGTAGAAAGTGTTCCTCGGATGCTATGATGAAGGATAGTTCTGACTTCCTCAATAGAAGGCAGTCTAGCAGCCTTTTCCTACAATAATAAAACGAAAACCTCATCAAATTCCCAACACACACTTGCAATTTGTTAGAGTTGAACACAAACGCACATACCACACACACACACTTGAAACCAGTTTATGTAACAAAAAATACCTGATGAACATTAATCAGCTCAAGGATTTCATCGGTAGCATCACCAGGTGATACACTCTAGTAAATCCAAAGGTTAAATAAGAACAACAAACCGATAAATAGGGGAAAAAATAGCAACTATCGATCATTTCTATAATTTAGCAAATTTGATCGGAAGTTGAAAAATCGGAGGAATATCGATTCACTGCAACAAATTTCATCATTCTGTAATCCAAATTTCATCAGATATGAAGAAACTGCTGAAGAGTAAGCATAAGAAATAAAAACAAAAAGTGAAAAAACAATTGAGTCACCTGAGAAGGGGTTTGGGCAGATGAAGCCATGGCAGTGGACGACGGTCGAAGGCGATTTGTGGAGAAGAGAGAAGAAGAACGGAGTCGTTGAAGGAAGCAACCACTCCGATTGCGATCATTTTGGATTAACTTTAAAGTCAATAATAATGTACCAAAATCATATTAATTATTGCGTTGAAGGAATCGATCGTCACCGTGAAGCCGATGCTGCCACCAGAATCATCTTGCAGACGCCAATTTAGAACAAAAAAAAAAAAAAAATACAAAAATAAACCAGGTTTTTTTTCTACGTGGTTTGTTAAAAATTATAGAATTCAATGATGTTTTATCAAACACTTACCGGTAAATGCTTACCGATAAAAATTAACATTATTATTTACTTACTGAGTAAGAGTTTAGTCCACAAAACGACATCGTATGCAACAATTTACCCGATAAGCGCTTACCGTGGTAAGAGTCGTCGCCCTCACTTACCGGGTAAGACTCTTGGTCATTGTCTCGCTCTTACCGGGTAAGATTTTTTATCCTTACCATATTCATCCGATAAGGTAAATTGACTTGGTGTTCACTTACCCGAGTAAGCATTTGGTAAACGGCCCCTTACTTGAGTTTCATCCATTGGAGGTGCCAATTTTGTTGATGATGAAAGGGCCGAATTTTTTAGGTGCTCGAAACTATATGATCTAAGGCAGTGGGAGCCGATGTTTTGATGAAGGAAATAGTTACAGAAAAGGTTTTAGGAGAAAATATGCATTAGTTTAAAGAAATTTTAGTTAGTTAGATTTTTTGGTTCCGGGTTTTTTAGGGAAAAGTCTTATCTCGTAAGTGAGTGTGACGAATCTTATCATGGTTAGCGCTTAGCGGATAAATTGTTGTATACAATATCTTTTTAGTTGACTAAAAGTCTTACTTGGTAAGTAAGTGATAATGTTGAATTTTGTAGACCCTTTAGTCCCTGTATTTTTTGAAATTACGATTTTTGTTCCTATTGTTTGTACATCATTGCTATTTTCACCCTTGAAGTTAATTCATACCTTTAAGTATGAGGGACTAAACTGATAATGAGTTGTAAATCATAGGGTTGAAAACAATAATAAAATTTAAGTTATAACGACCAAAATAACAGTTAATTGTAAACCATGAGGATGAAAATCATAATTTCAAAATCATAGGAACGAAAATAGTAATTTTCTACAAACCACTAGGACAAAAATGTAATTTATTCTGAAAATTTTAGGATTGTCAATTTTGTACTATTACAACCCGACCAATTGTCGTAGTTGGTACCAATTTAATTGTTTGATAGAACCGTATTAATTATATAAACTTGGTTGATAAATGGTATTAAAGGTCGTGTAACACACTAATACCATTCTGTACCAACTTATTTTTTTTATAATTATTTATTAATCAAAGTATATTCAATAATACAAACATATTTTTATTTTAAAAATTTTAATCGTCGCCAACAGAAACCCAATTTCCTCCCTAACGATTTCATCCCTATCCGATTTCATCGATTCCAAATAAGATTTAAAGTACTTTTTATTGATGCATATTACTTAAAATTCAAGATTACAGGTAAATTGTGCATAAGTACAACTTATTAAAGCTCTATGTTTGAATTCGTGTAACTAACTGGTGATAAACATAATCAAATAGAGGATAAACATCTCATTTTTAAAATATAAAAAATCTAAAATATAATTAGGATAACTATTGAGTTCTAACAAAATACTTAATTATTATCTTTATAAAAATATATATTATTAAACCTAAATTAAGTTACTTCGTTACGTTAAATTAAATCATATAAAGAATTTGAATTAAAAAAATACACAAACAAGAACTTTTAAATAGTTAATTTGATGCTAATATTGATATATTTTTTGTTAATATTATATGATATTTTTAATTTTATATTTTATTCAAAAATAAAAATATTATCGTTTTCTCAAAACACATAAAATCATATCATATCAACATAGATAAAAAATAAAACGAAACATTGAAATCGAAATATGTCTCGATGCATTGCACGAATACCCTTCTAGTTACTTCTAAAAAAATCAATTTGATATTTATATGGGATTAAAATATTGATATTAAATGTTGAAAATGATTGTTATAAGGAGACAATTGAGAATTATAATTTAAGAGAGGATTTGAATTTAAAAAAAATATATCATATGACAGGTAAATTAACAACCAATCAAATATTGTGATATTTAATTAAAGGTAATTTGATAAATGCATTTAATAACCACCAACCAACACTAAAAAGGTATCTTAAGTGATCTTAACCGTTGTTGAATGGTTTAGTGAGGAATGATTAATTGATCAGAATGATTAAGAAGCTCTCATGACATAATATAAAATGAAATATAATTGCTCCATAATTGTTTACAATGGAACCAGAGCGCTAAATGGTTAAGAGAGACTCATGATACAAAATCATTCAGAGGATTAAGAGGCAAACTTTTTTTTCCCAAACAAGATTATCTCTTAATGGAACTATTAAGAGGTAAATAAACAATCCCTTAGAGAAACAATTAACATCAATAATGTACAATACAACTATGATGGATATATGATATTACTTTCATACTCGACTAGATTGCTAATAACTTGCGATTGTGATCCATGCATGCCACATTACGACCAAAGAAAAATCATATATATCATTCAAGTTGATCTCTCAAAACTGTTTGATATAGCTGCTCTTCAAGACTTTGTGCTAAGATAGCAGATGATAGGAAGCGGTGTGAGATTTTACTTTGCCTTTTCTAAGCTCAAATCAATGTACATAATGCAATGTGCGGTTCCCACACTAGTATACATAACAACGGATCCAAGATTTTTGCTAAATGGGTGCACCTTTAAGGTGGATTAAAGGCCCAAATGTTATCCCACGTGTTTTTTTGCCAAATAACACCGTTTCAAGAGATTTTTTTAAAATATTTTTCATTGATTTCAAAGAACTTTATTTAGTTTTTTTTTTTTATGACATTCCTTGTATCATCTAATATTTCAAAGTTTAGTTGATATGTCGTTAAAATAAAAAAGGAAATTCTACTTGTGAAAATAAGTTGAACATGAGTAGAAGACCCACTCAAGGCTTCATAGGTCCAGCCCTGAGAGTACATGTTCTTTTTGCACAATGTACCTACTTTTTCCCCCTTTTTTTAGAGAAATCGACTCAAATAGCTATTACACTCGTTCAAATTGGTCTCCTAGCCATTTGTCTCGCGGGTTTACCAAATGTCAACGCATCCACAATATCCACATCCGCAATCCACAATGTTTACCTAAATGTCATCACGTCCGCAATATTGCGGACCTGGCTAAAATACAAAAAGAAAATCAAATTCCACCATGTTAAGCAAGTAACACTATCAAAATTGCGTACCTGAGTTGAATCTTATGATTTTTTTAGGTAAACCGAACAAAGGAACGACTAGGAGACCAATTTGCATGGATGAAATGACTATTTAAGTCAATTACTCAATTTCCCCTTTTTTATCTTTTTCTTTGTATTACCAGTTTTCATTCTTATAACCTTTTTAATTATCATTCTTGCACAAGCTGAAGGCTGTTATAGAAAAAAGCTGATTTTACATTTGATATGGAAGACAAATATGCATACATCCAATCACCAAACGGTTAAGATAACGTAACAAGCTTCATGCTTGAATCGCACGTGGCCACATGTGGTTCGAATATTTAGGGATTTCGCCTGCTAACAAAAAGGCTCAAAGGTTATACGAACCAAACACTTGTCTTTTTTGAAAAAAGGTTCAAAACCCTTGAAAAACTTTGGAAACACGACATGCAAACACTTACCCACATACGCAAAACACGATATGTCCTCTTAGTCTCTTAGACAACTTTACATAAAACCTAAGTTCCCAAAAACCTCTTACATAACATATTTGAATTAATCCCTAAAGGTCCGTTTGCCAGGATAAGCGGATGAAAGAACTGTAAAAAGTTTTAAGATTTTTAATTTAACATGGACAGTTTAGTAATTTATCAATCTTATTTCATCTTCATATTTTAATTCCACCTATTTTGGTAAGACAAAAATAATGTATTGTTGTCTGGGTCCTATCCTGACCCAGTGTAAAAGATAAAAGTCGCACCAAACATGGAATAACAAGGTTTTTCCTATCTTATACCATCTTGTCCCACGTACCAAACAACACAGGTGGTTGAGCGATCTTGCTGCCTTATAAGACATTTTTTGGATCTCACAATCAGTGGGATCAAGGTGCCACTGCAAGCTTCACTCTTTCAACCAACCATAAAGATATATAATCAACTTACCGCTTGTTTCTTAGCAGCTTAATGAGTTTAATGAGGCTCACAACTTATTTGGTCAACTACACGTGACTGTTTGTTAGTGGCTTGATGACATAGAACTTGACTTATTCAGTAAGTTTCTAGGGGGTAGCTTTATGCAGAAAGCAAAAAAAAAAAATCCCAACTTGTCCCTCAATTAAAAAACATGCTCCTTCCACCTAACCTATGAAAAAACCATCAAACACAAAAACTTTCCCAATCTATACAAACATATAAATTCACAAACACAGCTTTATCCATACATGACTTGACGAAAAACCAACCAATCAGCCCCTAATAGGACTATAAAACCCCCAAAAGTCACTCATACAAACAAGAATTGAGCATAGAAGTTGCAGTAAATGTAGCTATATGGCAATGTTTTCCTGTAACAAAGTACCAGGAGTCACTCATGCAAACTAGAACTGAGCATAAAAGGCAACCCCCCAACTAATGGAACAATAACATGGATCATAAATTGCGTAATCCATACAGTTGCATGAGTAGAAGCTTATCCCACAGGTCCACCATGGTCGAAGATCAAATACGCAATGCTAAAAAAATACCAAGGGGCTGTTTGGTTGGTTTTCCATTAAATCCAGTACAGATAAAGCTATCTGTATGGATTAATCTGTCTATAAAGATTGAGTAGAAGCTTATCCCACAGGTCCATCATGGCCGAAGATCAAATACGCAATGCTAAAAAATACCAAGGGGCTGTTTGGTTGGTTTTCCATTAAATCCAGTACGGATAAAGCTATATGTATGGATTAATCTGTCTATAAAGATTGAGAAGGATTTTATTTGGAAGGGTTTCTTCATAGATCGAAAGAACTTGTTTTTTTAAATCCAAACCTGCCTTTCTGCATAAAGCTCCTCCTAGAAGCAATTAGCCACTTTCTATATCATTAAGCCACTACCAATCAGTCATGTATAGCCGACCAAATAAGTTGTGAGTTCCATTAAACTCATTAAGCTGCTAACAAACAGGCCCCAATACTATCCATACACCTTAAAGAAATAGTTAAATGTAAACAAAAATCAAACTGCTTGTGTGGTATACCAAGCAGAGGAAGAACAACATATAAAACTATGCTACTTGCTCAGAATAAGAGGTTTATAGTCAGGACAAGATGAAACTCATAGTATCATATTCTAAAACAGAAGTAGAAAGTCTACAGACGTAGCAAAATCTTCATGGATGCCAGTAGCATAATTCATCGAAACTAAATATCTAATTCTCATATCACATAAGAAACCTTCATGGATGCCAACTCCTAACTTGGGTTTGCAATCTTTCTTCCAGTAAGAACATGTAGATTCCATCAAATTTAAGCAAAGACAAATCACTGAAGATAAAGATTGTAACAGGTAAAAAGGGTCAACATAAAAAGCTAACAATTGATCGCAAACAGCAGAGAGGTGGGTGATCATAAACATAATGGAGCTAATTATAATTCCCTCTGTCACAATGCTCCATCAATACCTTCGTCTAGAATCAAAATAATGCAACATTAAATCAATAAAATGCACACAATCATACAATTACAAGGAAGAAACATATGATTAACCCTTGAACGATTAGGCAATTATCAAATTAAATTTACTTCAAGAATTATGCTAATATCCTCAACTTGAATCCAAAAAGAAACAGTGTTTCTAACTTGCATCAACCAAAGACTTCAAACAACCAAAGCATCTTCATAATCAAAAGCAACCCATATATTCATCAACAATACTAGCCTATTCACAGCTTATTTGGTCGGCTATACATGACTGTTTGGTAGTGACTTGATATATAGAAATGACTTAATTAATAAGCTTCGAGGTGGAGCTTTATGCAGAAAGACATTTTTTCTTTCCAAACCTGCACCTCCTAATTAAAATAAAAGCTCCTTTTATCTATGAAAAAACATCCAACCATTCCAAACAAAAACCTTCTCAATCTATAAGGACAAATTAATCAAGAGAGACAACTTTAAACCAACCAAACAAGGAGCCACACAGTGATTTCTTCTGTAGCTCCAATTAACTTTAATTTCAAATTACATTTGGATTTTAAACTATCGGCAGAAAAATAAAACAGAAAGCACTACAGCAAGTGTTAAATTTGAAGAAAAATTAATATCAATTCTGCATATGAATAGTGTTGAGTCTGAACCAGATATCAAAAATGGAACATCTTCTGGAACCGAGTAGGAGAACAACCAATAAACCACAATTATCAATTACCAAACAGAATAGAAAAGAAGTTTATACATTACACAGAATTAGACGATTCATCGATCAATCGGAGTGCGAATCTTCATCAGATGAGAAGGAAGAGGAAGACGAGGAAGATGAATAGAAATTGGTATGAGGAGGAAAACAGAAGAAAGTCCAAACACAAAGGGCGAAACGTCGAAATTGTTGAAAAGGGAAGCAGAAGAGAAGGGGAAGAACTTGTCGACTGCTTAAGCGTTCAGGGTTACAAGCTATGTACTGGCATAAATCGGCGGAGATGTTGGCCACCGCCACCACCAGCGGAGTGTTCATAACCATCGTTGATCGGCTTTAATTCCGTCGGATGTGTGATTTTGATCGGAAATTGTAGAAAAAGTTTGGATCGAGATATGAAAATTGAGATTAGGGCTAACATGAAGTAAATTTGGGAAAGCGATGGGTGACGTCAGAAAACTGCTACCAATTAATTTCGGAACACTACTTTCAGTCAGAGACGCAAAAAAAGGTGACCTTACCGTAACTGCCAAACATATATAAAATATTAAAAAAATTAAGTGACGGTTTACACAAAATCTTACCCGATAAGTGTTTATCGATAAAAGTTAATATTTTAATTTATTTTATTAGATAAGATCGTAGTCCTTCAAAATAGTACCGTATGCAACAATTTACCCGATAAGATTCTTCATTTTTATCATCACTCTTACTGGATAGGATTATCGGCTCTGACATGTTCATCCGATAAGTAAGGTCCCTTAAAAAAAAATTAATAACGAAGAGCATCCCTATAGGAGGTCTTCAGACCATCAAACTTATTATAAAAAAAGAACAAATTGTATGAAAAAGTAATGTACTTTCGTTAACTTGATTTTTATTTTGGGTAACGTACTTTTAAAACTTTCATTTTTGTACCTAAGATGTAAAGTTTTAAACATTTAAGTATTGGGTAACCGGTTGAAGACTAATTTTATATTTAAAAAATCCATATCACTAACCACATCAGCTAATAATACTAAGTTGGATATCACATTACTTGTCACATCACCATGATAACCGGTTGATGTTTCAATCAGTTACCCGGATACTTAAATGTTTAAAACTTTACATCTTAGTTACAAAAATGGAAATTTTGAAAGTACGTTACCCAAAATAGGAATCAAGTTAAAATACGTTACTTTTTCATGCAATTTGTTCTATAAAAACAATAAAATTTGATTTACTAGAACTAGAGAGATGTTTGTTTGCAAACTTCATAAGGGCAAGAAATGGCTTGACGATGGCACGAAGTGACACGTTGGTGGCAGCTTCTTCCGTAACCTCATACTCGATCGTTGTCCTTACGAGACACGGTGAACCCATCTCGTCATTTGGATTGTCCTTAACCTCGACCCTCACTCTATAAAGTGTAAATCCAAAATTTGTTGTGTGTGTGCCATTGTATATACTTTGAAACTATAACCAGAACAAGTTTTATTTGGTAGAGTTGGTTTGCAAGGCTTTTATTCCACCCCAGACTGAAGTTCGAATCCTATTAGTGTTATTTTATTAGTCAAATAGTGTCACTGTTTGAAAAAAAATTATGTATATTTGTTTCTTATAGTCAAACGATGCTACCGTTTGAAAAACAATTCCCTATAACTTTTTCTTATAGTCAAAACGCCATCATTTGAAAAAATTTATGGATCCGTCCCTGCTCTAGTGGTGGCACAAAATAAACCATAGTGGTAGTAGCTCCGTTAAGGGTTGTAAAAGTATTTTACACTTCAAGAAACAAATTAAATGGTGGCACGGGCCACCGTGTAGCCTTAGGGTATCTATCTATGCAAGATGGAACTCTCCAAACGAGCACAGTAAATCACATACAGTATGATCCTTTTTTAACAGTAGGTAACTAGATTTGTTTCAAAAGCAAACACCTAGTTGAAATTTATCCTTATACGATGGTTCCAACACCGCCATCGCCTTCAATGACCTCTCGAGTCCATCGACGATGTATCTGGTGGCGGTATCTCCGAGTTTGAATGTACCGTAAATTTGCTAGGCTTTGTCAGCAGACAACGTTCCAAACGTTTAATCCAAATTCATGGTTCATGACGTGCTGGGGCATATGTAGAAGCCATGGGGATCTTAGATGGCGTGTGTGTGGTGGATAGGAAATGGGATATTTATAGTTATCGAATATGTAAGGTGGTGACTCTTACCGAGTTAGGACTCACTGTTTACCAACAATCTTACCTGCCAAGTGTTTACTGTAGTAAGCGTTGCTAAATGACTCATTAAGTCCATTTTAAAGTCGTCTTATTTATTAACTGGTAAACAAACACAAATGTGTGGCTGAGCGATTAAGCTCAATTGCCAAAATCAAATAGCCACGAGATTTATTACAACAATAATATCGTTCGACTTAAGTAGAACATAAGAGATGTTCGTTTGCAACCTTCATAAGGGCAACAAATGGGTCGATGGTGGCAAGTGATGCATTGGCAGCATCCTCTTCCTTAACGTCGTACTCAATCGTTGTTTTCATGAGACACGAGGAACCCGGCTCGTCGTTTGGATTGTCCTTAACCTCGAACCTCACTCTATAAAGCGTAAACCCGAAATCCAGATATCCTCCTTCTATGATCTCTGCTTCTTTCACCCTCCTCTCATTGTCGACCGTTGTGAATTTTTCCTTGTAATATGAAATTCCAGACCCTACACATATATCATTAAGGAACAGATCGAGAAGGCAAAGGTGAATCCAGAACCTTTTTTCACTAGTTTCACTGAATAATTGTTCGTAATACTAAAAAAAATTAAAAATTAATTATAATTATAATTATCAAATACAATACAATAAACTATAAACTCATTTCCCAAATTCATAATTTATGTTTAGGATTTTTGTATTGGGCAAATTACATTGAAATCTAACGTAGTTTAACTTGATTCCTATTTTGGGGTAACGTACTTTCAAAACTTTCATTTTGGTATCTACGATGTAAATTTTTAAACATTCAAGTACCCGGATAACCGGTTGAAGCATTAACCGGTTATCATACTAATATGGTATCCAACTCAATATTATTTGTTGGCGTGGTTATGACATGGAAATTTTAAATCTAAAATTAGTTTTCAACCGGTTATCCGAGTACTTAAATGTTTAAAACTTTACATTTTAGGTACCAAAAAGAAAGTTTTGAAAGTAAGTTACCCAAAATAAGAATCAAGTTAAAAGTACATTATTTTTTCATGTAATTTGTCATTTTGTATGCCACAATTTTAACCATTATTACTCAAATTTAACGTTCAATACGCTACTCTAGCCTCTCATTTTATAGCGACGATCGCCACTGGTAGCACAAAATAAACCACATTGGTAGTAGCACCGTTAAGAGTTGTAAAATCTTTTACACTACAAGAGACAAATTTAATGGTGGCACGGGCCACCGCTATGGCCTTGGTGCATCTACCCACGTAATATATAACTATGCAAACGAACACAGTAAATTCCACACTGTATGATCAAAATATATCGTCTTTTTTAGTAGTTGGTAACTAGATCTTGGTTTGAAAGCGGGTACCTGGTTTGAAAGTGATCTTAACGATAGTTCCAACGCCGCCATCGCCTTCAATGACCTCAAGTCCATCAACGATGTATTTGGCGGCCAAATCTCCGAGCTTGAGAGTGCCGTAAACCTGCCACGCTTTGTCGGCCGACACCTTCACTTCAACTTCCTCCGACAACGTTCCAAACATTTTATCGGTGTTTTATGGTTGGTTCAAAGTGTTGGGGGTTTATGTAGAAACCATGGAGATGTTAGATATAGATTTGTGTGGCGGAGAGGAAATGAGATGTTTATGGTTATTGACTTTTTTTGTACTTTTTTAAAATTATTCTTTTTCTATAAAATGATTTATTTGGATTTAACTCTGAATTAATTTCATTTAATTTAGTATTTAATTCACATTTATACTCTCTTGAGATCGATTCTTAATATTCAACCATCAACACACCAAAAAACAATCTAACTTTAGCCGACCACCCTATTAGTCGAGGGATCAAGCCTATGACAAGATAGAACAACTTTTCACTAGGAAAAGAGCAAGAACGTGGTTGAAATCAGAACGCATCAAGGTAAACAAACTCGGTGGGGGGCGGACCTATCAAGAATCGAGTGGGGTGGGTCCCATGCCCCTCTCACCAAGAAAGAAATTTAGATATCTTGAAGGTCTTAAAATATTTAACAAGAATCAAGACTTGACGAGATGGTCTAGGCTAACCAAATTCTAAATTTCCTCGTAACACTGGAATTCAGCCAAAAACACGTTGTACGTAAGACGTGATATTGTGTTTTTGCTCAAAAGGACAGTCGATTCAATTTGAAAAAATGTTACATTCCCAAAATCGACACTAATCATCAATCTCATGACTTTGTGGACCTTTGATCCACCTTAAAGGTACACCCACTTAAGTTTTTTAGACCTTGTGAAAAGTGTGTGAAAGAGAGAAAGTTAGCACATAACTGCCACAAAAACCATAAATACTCTGACCAATTTCGATTTCGGCATTCCATAAATCTTAAAAGAGTACAACAATCATGAACCAAAGCTGAGACTACAAACCACATGTTCGCAGTCATCGTCATATGCGTCTTTTAACTTAAAAACGCATGCTTGGCACACATTTCTCTTTCTTTCGATTAACAACTCTCTTTCCATTTTACAGCAGCAGCAGAAGCATAACTGGGAGATTTACATTTGCTCATATACCAAAACCAACCTCCCTTCCCAAAATAACTCGTAAAAATTCCCTTTCTCAATTTTCACAGCAAAACGAGGTGCACGTCCAACACAACTCAGCAAACGGTTCGACCATAACATATGGATGCAATGTAAAGATTCTTTGACCATTTTTCCTGCTAAATCAACAAAAACCCTCCTTAGCACAAAGATCATGTTTACAAAGAAAGTAAGCTTTCACTATCAACGTCAGATGCATAAAAATTTTATAGGCAATCACTCAAAGGCATGCATAGTATTTGTGCATCGTAGCATGCACTTCTCACACACATACACACACACAAAACCAAATGAGTACAGTAAGTCCCACCCGGAGGTGGGATT